GGATGGGCCGGGGCACAGGGGCAGGCGCCGCGCTGAAGGGATGCGCGCCACCAGGACCGACGGACAGCAGAGGACAGAGAATGCGCTGGGGTGTCACGGGATGAGACAGCTGGACACACAGAAAAATGCACCCTGTTTCTCCATGTCTCCAACATCCAGGTGTTCCGAACTGTGCGGGCCAAACGCCTGGATTTTCTCGGTTCCCCCGCCCCCTCCCAGTTTCTTCATCATCTTCAAGGAGAGGCGACTGAGAGCAGGTTTGGGAGCCGGAGACGGAGGAGAAGTGAGAGGTGGGTGCGTGGCACAGCGCGGGGAGTGAAGAGCTGGCGCTCCGGGCCGGGCGGGGCGGGCGCTGTGGGCGCTGTGCTCCCTTCCCGGGGCTGAGGGTCGCACCTGCTCCATTCTCACAGCTCAGTCCTCACCAGAACCACACGAAATCGTGGGTGTTAAAACATTGACTATGGCCAAAACCGGTTTGGCTCAGTGGATAGAGCATCGGCCTGCGGACTGAAGGGTCCCAGGTTCGATTCCGGTCAAGGGCATGTACCTGGGTTGCGGGCACATCCCCGGTGGGAGATGTGCAGGAGGCAGCTGATCGATGTTTCTAACTCTCTCTCTCTCTCCCTTCCTCTCTGTAAAAAATCAATAAAATATATTTTTTAAAAAAACAAACATTGACTATGACCACAAAACGCTTTTCAAAGGAAAAGGCGGGGGCGTGGCATCATTAAAAATAACGAGAATTTTCCATTTGACTTTAGGGTCCTCTGAAGCGAGAGGGGAGCCGAGAGCCCCTTGCCCTCTGCGATGTGCAGGGCACCGGCACCAGGATGCCCGCGTTCCCCGGGCTGCCCTCACCAGAACCAGCGCTAATCCATGCCTGGCCCGGGGCTCGGGGGTTGAGCGTCGACCTGTGAACCAGGAGGTTACGGTTCAATTCCTGGTCAGGGCTCCATCCCCAGTGGGGGGCGCGCAGGAGGCAGCCGATCCATGATGCTCTCTCATCACTGATGCTCTCTCTCCCTCCCTCTCCCTTCCTCTCTGAAATCCATAAAAAATCAATACTTTTTTTAAAAAGGACCCAGAGTCAGAATCATGTCCAATGTCAGCGGCCACCAAAGCAATGCAGCTCAGAGCGACACCCGCCTCCGTTCCTGCCTCCTGCGGGGTTTGGAAACGAGGGGCCGAGGCCAGGGCTGCGGGACAGCCCTCCGCGTGGGCGAGGGCGCGGGCGGCACCTTCCCCAAGGCAGATGGGCACTCAAAGCTCCCGAACGTGTTTAACCTTGAACTCAGCGATTCCACTTGTAGGGCTTCACCCCCAGGAGACACTCGGGATCAAGCCCGAAGCCTCATCTCCAAAGATTCACGCAGGAGCACCGCGGCATGGCTGTGGCATCGAAGGTCGGAAAGCAGCTCCACGTCACACCGCGTGGGGAGCCGC